ATTTGCAATGGTATGTGTATGAGTCTTTTTAGAATATTCGTTTTCAGCTCTTGTCACTTCACTTGACATTTTATTGTCAACATATGTTTTGTCTGCTAGTTCAGGATGAGTATGTTCTTTTGTTGCATATGTTGCATCTGCTCTGTCATGTTCTTCTTGAACTTTTTCAATGACATACTCTTTGTCAGCTTTCTTTTCAACATCCTCTTTTGTTGCATATGTTGCATCTGCTCTGTCATGTTCTTCTTGAACTTTTTCAATGACATACTCTTTGTCAGCTTTGTTGTCAACATCTGCTTTCAAAAGAAGTTCATCTATAGGTTTCTCGTTTAAAGTTCCTTTTGTTGGATTTACACAGACAGTATGGTTCCTATTGTCTTGAAACAGAAACTCATCTGTCATTGGGTTCATTGTCAGTTTTAAGTTTCCTTCTTTCAATGACTCAGATATCTTAGAATAGTTTGAAAAGTTTGTTGTGTTCTTATTTAGAGCTTGTACAATGAGTTGTCGGTTGTGTTGTATTTCTCTCATAGACGCTGTTTCTTTCGACATTTTTATTCTAGATAAAATATGCTTTCAATAGAAAAAGAAAATTCAAGAGTTGCTACAACTAAACCATTAGATGAACTTTTTACTAACGTAGGTCAAAAGTTTGAGACAGAGACCGTAAAGCATGAAGGCTATCGTTTTGACTACCCACTAAGATGGTTAAGAGACCCATCCGTCACAAAAGCTGTTGGCTTTCGTAGAATGAAGTTCATTTCAGAAGCCATACATGGTTTCCCATTTACGGTCGCTTTTGAAATTCGATACTATAACAAAGAGAAACGTACGTATGAGAAATTTGAACAGGGAAAACTTTTACAAGTTAGTTTGCTTGTAAACTTAGAAACAACTCTTCAAGCTTTTCAAGAAAAAATAAACGATATCTATCTCGAATATGCAAACCAGTTTAACATTGACGAAGGAGAGTACCATCTCGATATTTTATATGACAGGAAAAATGCAACTGTTAAAATCAATAGAATAGAAGACCTTGGAGACAACGTTTATATTTCTACAAAATATAACAACTTGGCATGGTATAGATTTTTGAGGATGTTAAATCAGCCTGCAGAATATCCAGTACACCCGAACTTTTATGAAGTCGAAAACCCTAATGGAACATATGAAAATGTTTTCGACTCAGATGCTATTATCGTTCATGCTTCATTTTCTGGTGCACAAAACTCTTTTTTATGCTTGGCAAATGACTTTTACGAAAAACCTACAAAGCTATATGAACCACCAAGTGGAAGTATTTCAGACTTTCAAGTATGGTTTACTACAGATGGAAGAAAGAGAATAGTTCCATTATACCATGCGTTTTACTTAGAACTTAGTTTCATATACAACTACTATCGAACGGTAAAAATATAATTTTTAATACGGTTGAGGTGTTGGATTTGGTTGCCAACTAGACTGTGGTGCAGGTTCAGGCTGTTGTATAACAGGAGCTTGTTCTTCTGGTTCAGGGTCTTTAGGTATAATACCAACGAACTGACCTACCCTTTTACCAATATTTTTGACTCCGTTCCAAATTCCTCTTCCGACAGATTTTATTCCATTCCATATACCTCTTCCAACATTTCGAAAGAAGTTTCCTATTCTTCCAAAGAAACCCATTTTACTATATGTAAAAATCTAATGTCCGCCTAGTCTCTTACGTTTCCTTCTGAGTTCCATAGCATTTTTTAACTGGAGCTCATACATTCTATTTCTCCTCTGGTAGAAAACATACTCGGGGTCAACTCCTGTGTTCGCGTCATCTGCATAGAGTTGTTTATATCCCACTTCAGGGTTTGTATAAAACTCTTTCCATCTCATATTTGCATACCATGGTGGTAAGCCTAACGCAGCGTCATTTGACATGGCAGTTTGCATTTGTACATCTGTTGGCACTTGACCATAGTTTGCCATTGCAGTTTGTATTCTAACTTCATTTGGAATATTCTCTGGGTTTGGTTGTCCAGGTTGCTGTGCATTCGCTAAGTTCTGTGCGTCCATTTTAATATTAGATAAAAATATCTCTTACGAGTACATATGCTGAACATTTGCAGGCAGTGGTTCATCTTCATATTCTCTATATCTTTCTGCCACGTCAAATAAGTAAATGACACAATGGAAAAAAACTAAAACAAGTAGTCCTATTTCAAACCACATTTAGTTACCAATAAAATTTCTTTGTTATGACACTTTTTCCGGTTTATAGGACCTCTCTCATATTCTATCTTATCGTATCTAAACTCATAGTCATGTATGTCCTCTAACCATCTCATAACGGTTTCCAAACCACTTTTATCGGATGTAAAGTAAAAGCATGGATGGTTATGTAAAACGTCTAAAGTTTCTAAAGAGTCTCTCAAAGTCCAGTCTACTTGGTATTGAAAATCATATGTGTTATAGAACGGCGGTCTACTATAAAGAAAACATTTTCCTTGTTTTTATATTTTTCATACAACTCTGTCCAACGACATCTCACAAACTCTATACCCTCAGTATATTTTTCTATGTTCTCTTTGAAAACCTTTGTATAGTTAAGATATAAAACGTTTGACATAAGTGTTTCAATGTCATGAACTCTTATAGAACCACTATACAATAGTCTAGAAGATATACTATCCCAGTCAATATACTCTGCTTTTTTCAAAACCTCTCTGACAGTATTTTTCTTATCTAATGGTATACGTTCCATCTTGCCTATAGGTATCTTTTCTTTCAACTCACTCAATATTTTGTTTGTGTCTGGTATATGTTTGAGACGGTTCATATAGTTGTCGAAGTCATTGCATATAATCTTTGAGTCAGGAAATACAGTATGGCACAAATGAGATATATAGAAACTTCCACCGAACAAATCTACAAATGTTAGACCATTCGGTAGTTTCTTAAGTTCTCTCAATAGAATATCTTTACATCTACTCTTATTTCCAAAGAAGGGTAACGGTGGTTTTGTAAAATTCATTTTATATATTTAATAAAAATGTTTTTTCCCTGAAAAGTGACAGAAAAGTGACTGGGGCTAGAGGGCACGAAGTGCCTGGAGGCCCCACTACCTTTTTTTTTGAATACACACTAGAATATATTTAAATCAACTTTTAAAAAAGTTCGAATCCTGCGCGTCTCACTTTTTAAATTTTCCAAAAGGAAAATTATATTCTCCTAAAATGAAAACAATTTTCCGAATTGACATCCTTAAAATAATCGAAATATGAAAGAAATAAAACTTAATAAAAAATGAACGTTTATAATTTTTCATTATGGATTATCCAACTCCAACTACTGATTTCCTTGATGGATCAACACATGATCACTTAATGTTACGGTTCCACATATGATTTAGATCATTCTCCTTAATATTTATCGAAGAAAAACGCCAAATAATGAAATTTATTTGGTTTATGCCCGCTGAAGTCAATTTAGACAGATTACAGTCCAAAGGATCCAGTAAAAATCACAATATTTTTACACATGGCCTTAATGAAAGCCAACAAGAATAAAATTCTTGCAAATTATTCAAAGAATTGTAAGTTTCATTGGCAAAAATGAATAAAGATATTGCTTATATACTATTTTAATTTACTAGCAATGATTTTTTGAGTCTTATTAAGTTTTTTTAAAAAATTAAAATATCTAAATTTACATATTTTTAAGTTTTTGTTTTGAATGCACTGCCCAAATATACTCAATGTAAGGATACTATTTATATTAATATTGGCTTCTAAATATCAAGGTTTACACCTTTTTGCCCCGTTTATACCTTTTTCTCCCGACTATATATATATAAGCATCTCAAAATCTATTCATTTAATATTTTGTTTTTGGATATTTCGAACTGCTTGACAACACCACATGATATCGATCCTCTTCAGATCTAAGCATTTTTCTCGTTCTCTGACCAGTTGAGAAAAATTAATTATGGTATATAATTATTTCTTTCAATAGAAACGATTCATAGATACTTTCGATTGCTTGTTGTTGGCAAAATACCACGACCAAAAAAAAAGGTAGTGGGGCTTCCAGGCGCGTTGCGCCCTCTAGCCCTGAAGATGTTTAGTATAAATGAAGTTTTTATTCGGAGGGCTTCCAGGCGCGTTGCGCCCTCTAGCCCATAAAAAATTTCTGAGGACGAGCCAGCCAGTGACTTTTTTGTAGAGCACTCAAAATAGTATAACTTTGTCCGGACAAGTAAGGGTCTATCCTCGCTACAGGAAAAGTTACAGGCGTTCCAAGGAAGTATACTTTGAGAAGCCTTTTCCCCCTTATAGAATGAGATAGGACGGTTATTTTACAAAACTGACAACACTTTGACCGAGTAGTTTTTTGTGCTGAACAAAAAGTGTCATATAAACATCTGTCAAAAACCGCTTTTTAACTTCACTTAAAATGCCACGTAAGCTACGTAAGAATATACGTAAGAGGAAGGAGCATTGAAACATCCAATAGTAAAACTGACACCACAGCAACAGTTGCAACAACAAATGATGAATGACCCCACTATGTTGCAACAAATGTCAAGCAACCCTATGCTTTTAAACCGAGTTATTGGTGCACAGAGTGGAGGTTTAAGAGCGGCACTTTTAGCGAAAATGGCAGGCTATGGTGGAGCTGCAGACGGAACAGCTTATAACCCTCAAAGTCAAATGAATTTGAGTTCACTCAAAAATCAAATAACAGATGTCAAAAAGTCAAACATAGACATACAGAAGCAAATAAGTGAAAACGAAAAGAAACTAGAATATGACAGACACACAAAGAAACTCAATGAGTTAAACGTAGAGAAAAAGAAGAAAGAAGAACAACTGAAAGAACTAAGTACAGAGGAATATGCGAAAAAAGTGTCAGAAAAAGCAGCAGAAGTAGCAAAAATGGAACAAGATGTTATAAATTTGAAAAACCATACTACTCAATATAAAATACTGAAAGATGAAGAGATAAAACAAAAAGCCCTGAAGACATATATGGATAGCGATGAGTATAAAAAAGAAGTTGAAGCAAATGTAAAGGCAGAAAAACTTTTACAGTTGCAAAACCAAACCGTACAGTATGAAAACTTAGCACAAGAAAGTAAAAATAACGACGCGGCTATGCAAAAGGCAATGAAAAGCGCAGAATATATAAAAGCCAACAATGACTGGTTAGATGCCCAAGCCAACGCTAAAGCAGCCCAACTCATAGGGTCAATAAGGACAAAAATACAAGCGGATGAAGACAGTTCAAATGAAGCTTTAACAAATGCTGACTTTAAGAATGCCTTCGAAGCTCTTCATAGTAAGGTGAAACTAGTGAACGACTTCTCATCTGGAAAGAAACTGAAGTCTGAAGGTTTCGACAAAGAGTTAAGAGAAGTAGCACAAAATATGACGAAAATAACAGATGCAGCAACGAGACAGGCAGTTCAAAGTGCCTATGACGCCGTTAGAGCAATTGTTGTGGAAAGTCAAGAAAAAGAGTTACAACAGACCAAAACAGACCTAGTAAATGCTTTCTTAAAAACGAAAAGTCAGGTAGGACATTATGCTGCAGATGGAACATATGTGCCAGCTGGTGGAACTTATATACCAGCTGGTGGAACTTATATACTAGCTAGTGGAACTTATATACCACCAAACCCTCCAAGAGAAGCACCTGCACCAGGACTACCTAAAACATTTACATCGTCACATGGACACAGACACAGGCATGCACCAAAACCAACACAACAACCAACAGTTCAAAATCCAGCACAACAACAACAACCAACACAACAACCAACAGTTCAAAATCCAGCACAACCAAAACCAACAGTTCAAAACCCTGCACCTGCACCACCTCCACAACCAACAGTTCAAAATCCAGCACAGCAACAACAAACAGAGCAAGGACATAAAAGAAGTAGAGAACAAGGAAACCAAGAATTCTTAAAAATGCTTAAGGAAGATTATGGTTACCCAGATACTCTTGACTTTAGTGACAGATATAAAGAAGCTATTAGAAAGTTCAAGGAAGGAAATACTGACCCGAACCTATTTAGCTTTATGGCTCAGCACCAAATGGGATATAATTTCAAACCTGGAAAATACAAGCTCGCTAAGGGATATGATTTAATAGCATATCATCCAAATGACATGAATGAATTTACTCCGAGATATTTGGTGTCAGAGCTAAATGATAATTCAACTCTCTTCATGAAACGCGTAAAAAATAGAGACGGAACGAAAGAAGAAAGGTTTATGAATGCGGATGACGTAGATAGGGAAATTGTTAAAAACGGTCTCGGAATATATGAAATGCCAGCAGATGAGGTACAAGAAACTCCACAGGAAGAAGTTCAGATACAACCAGACATGGAAGAAATAGTTCAGCAACAACAGCTAGAAGAGCCTGAAGGAAACGAACAAGTCCCTCCTTTGGAAACTAACTTCACAGAACTAGATGAAGATTTGGAACAGCCGAAAAATCTTGACCCTCAACAAGAGTATGAGGAGAATATGGAATCTTTCCAAGAGTCTAAGAAAAATTCGGCTGACATGGTAGAAGAATATCGAAAAATGTTTGCCGACATACAAAAGACTCCAACATCAGATGAAAATATTCAGCATAGAATGGAAGTACTGAAAGAAAATGTACGCAAATACAACAATCCTTTTTACTTACGACCATATAACGTTCAATCTTTGGCTGAACTCGGTGAAAATAAAAGGTTAAATTTCAACAAAACATATAGAAATGAAACATTGTTTAAAGTTCATTCAGAACCTAACCAATATGGAAACAAACCTACTTTTGTTTCTGCAGACTATGGAACTACAATGAGATGGGGTCATAAAGCTAATCCGGATAGGTGGTTCATAAACTTACAACCACAATTCCAAGAAGTTGTAGACGCAATGGAAGTGAATGGTGAACCAGATATAGCTGGTATTTTCAGCGCGGCTTTAATGCCATTGAAAGATATGAAAGATGCAGATATTTGGACCAGTATGAAATGAACATGGCTGATGGAAATATAACACCTGACGTTCTAGAACATTTATCTCAAAGAACTACACAGAACCATAAAGATGGTATATTTGGTGAAGAGTTTAGAAAGAAAGTTAGGGAGACAGAAGGAAGAGAACCTATTGTACATGACCTTGCAAACGAAAGTTTACAAAATGTCATAAAAACTTACTTTGCAGACAATGAACTGAGAAGGGATGAATATTTAAGAAAACTCAAATGGACAGTACCAAATGAAATGTTAGTATTGAAAAACATGTTCCTTGACAAAATAAAACCAACTACAGAAATAAATGACGCAAGACTGAAACATTGGGTAAAAGCTTTCCCATTCACAAAAGATATTATTGGTAACATGGAAAGAAAACCAGAATGGCTACAAAAACATATATTTGGAAACGAGCTTATTCCATATGGACAAGCTCTGTTTGAAGAGCTTGAACCGGAAACTCAGGAAAGAGTCATGCAAACAATACGCGAAGACTCAAATACAAACTATGACAAAATCTTTCTAGGATATAGGTTACCTGAGATGGGCGACCAGAGCCCAAAGGCAAAAGGACATGGGAAATTTACAACATACTAGGTGAACATGAGGCAAAGATGCAACAACTTGAAGCAGAGGGCAAGTTACCAAAAGCGACACCAAAGAAGAAGAGAAGAGTAGAACAAAGTGAAAGTAGTGAAGAAGTAACTTCATCTAGTGAAAGTAGTGGCAATGAAGGAAAAAGAAGAGTTAAAAACTCAGCCAGGAAGAAAGTAAAGCTTGGTCCACGTGGGTTCTATTATGACACATAAATCCAACTATTCTATATTTTTACCCATATGAAATGTACGCCGCTCAGAATATAACGCCAACAGTTTTGGATGCCATGAACGGAAATGTTTCCGAATGGTATAACGAATGCGACAATGCCATTAGAAGGTCAGAAATAGTTCCTGGAACTTACGAATATACAACTGCTGTTTCTTATGGAAATGTAGGTGAGTTTGGAGAAGGTTCTTCAACAACAGTAGATATTGCTTGCGACAGGTTTCATATTATTTCTATTGACAACTCATTCTTATACGTGGAACAAGACATTGAAATAAAACCTTCTGCCAAGTTGTCTGACAAGAAAGGTTGCAATGGAATTTTCTATGTCGGATACCAATATGCTCCAGAAGTTTTCATGGGATATAAGATATATTCTAACTCTGACTTAGTTCAAACAGTAACATGGGCAAACTATGAATGGTTCGCTTTGAGAAACTCAGTACAACCACAAGCTAGAGAACAAACAGACCAGTATGCAACTATTGAGAAAATAAGAAGACTTGACCCTAACGTTCCAGGAGTTTATGTTAACCTTTCTGGTTCAGATGGAACTGCTGCCACTAAAGTAAAACTGAAACTTAGAGTTCCTTTGTCATCTTTCCTCATCTTCAGGTTTTTAAGATACTTGCCAAACTGGGCAGGAAAAATTTCTATCGAACTTACTCCAAGCAAAAATAACTTAGTCATTGCACCAACACAAGACCCATTCAGCATTACTGTAGCTGGAACTGGTGGAGCCAAGTTCTGTGACTTTTGCAAAGACAAAGTTGACTTAGACTTTGGTTTCTCAAACTTCAACAATGAAGTAAACTATTATTTCAATGCTGCTGGAACTGCTTGGGACCCAGTTAAGTTCACATGCGAAAAATTTGAATGCAAGAGAATAGAAAGCAGACTTGCCGTTTATATGTTGGACCCAGATATTTCAAATGCTTTAGCTGCCAAATATATTGCAGTTCCACTTATGTTCCCTATACACCAAATATCTGTCAAAGACTTTGCAGGTGAAGTTGGAAACCAAAGTGCTGACCCAGGTGCAAGAACAGATATTGCTTTAACAACTGCAATGAAACATGCAGATACTATGTTTGTACTGTTCAGACGAACTATAAATGACTATTCTTGTTTCTACAACCCTGGTATTAAATATCATATAAACATAGATGGCAAATATTATCCAAGAGAAGAATATTCTACAGTTGAGGATATGAGGTCATACAACTTGACATTAGATGCTATGAACTTTAACAACAACTTCACAACAACCATTAACCCTGAAATGCAAAGTTCTATTATGCCATATGTGAAAGTATGGACTCATACAGGAGGTCAAAACACTCAATATACAAATGGAGACCGTTCAAACTTTTGGCTTGGCATTCCATTTGCTGACTCAGAAGACTTTATGGGTGGTATTTCAACTGTTGGTACAGTTCAAATACAATATACTGGTGACAGAGACGGTCCAGATGAATTGAGAGCAAAGAAGTTTACAAAACCAATAGCACTTTTCACAGAAGATGCTCTTTTGAAGATTCGTTCGATGAAACCTGCTGGGGCTCCTCAGATTGGCATAACGACAGCTTCCATCGAGCAGATTTTGGCAGCAGGTCAGTAAGTTGTTCTTGAACTGACTTCTCTCCGTCAAATATTGACAGTACGCCAGTTTTGATATAATATTGTATTATAAACTTACCTTTAGTAATATCGGTCAGTTTTGAAGTTATATTTTTGTCTGCTTCAAGAACTTTCACCATTTCAGTTATACCAACTTTCTTTGCTTTATGAAAATATTTTGGTTCAGCAAATATTGCTATTCTATAACATTTTCCATTGTTTGTATAAAGAACTATTCTGTCAATGTATTTGTATTGTTTGTGTGTGTAAACTTTGTTTTGCTTCAATTCGAAGAGATACTCGAATGCGTCCATCTTTTTATTCTAAGTAAAATGTCATTTCCGAAAAATAGAAGCGTAAGTGTTTCAAAAGGTTTAATGGCGGTGGCAGATGTGAAGTTAAATTCACCAACTCAAACAAACAGTCAAAGTGTTGTTGTCAATGTCAAAGACAGAGATGTTGAAGTGGGGAAACCATACGAAGACGAAAATGGTATAACAATTGTTCCTGTAAAAGAACCAACATATCCTGAAGTTAGCAGAGACTTAAGTTCTGTTGCAGATATTCGAAACGACTACCAACAACTGAAAGACAAACTTCAAACTCAGGAGAAGATTTGTCAAGCTTTAGGTATAATGTTAAACTTGGTCGAACACAACCCTGTAAAAGTGAACTCATATGTCATTGCACCTCATGAAGTTTTGAAAGAACTATTGAAACTTTTGACAGAGGCAGACGATATAAACATCAAAGAAATAGAACCCGACATTAGTTGCTGTGGTGTTTCATATAATGTCATTGACAAGATATACGTTATGAAAGGAGGTGAAACGTTGAACTTAAAATATAGTTTTCCAGACGTTATAAAAATATTTGACGACCACAACATTTCATTAAAATTTATTTGCTAAGTAAATGGCAGAAGACATAATGGTTTATACTATTACGACTAAAAACCCTGAGTCATATAATTCTATAACAACAAACTTACAAAGTCCTCAAGGACGATATTGTAAACTAACCTTAAACACAATGACGACTAAAGCTTGTTTTGCTCTTTTGACACCAGAAGACTTTATTGTTGTGAATGGTAAAAAATACTCCTTGAAGATACTTACTCAGATAACCACCAACAGGTTTTGTTGACTTATTTAATACTTTAAGTACGGGTGTAACATGTGCTGCAACTAGAGCAGGTTTCATTATGTTTGGATGTCGACTGAGTTTACTATAAACGATATGAGCTATAATACAAAACCTTATTTCTGGTTTTTACTACCAACAGTTTCCTATAACAGGAAAAGGTGTCATACAAGGAATGTCTATTCCATTGACATTAAGCACACCAATCTTATATATTGTTTCAAACTTAGGTTCAAAGTGTTATTCGAATGTCGACAGAAACTATTATGACCAAAAGATACTTATGCGTATAAACAATACTTTCTCTGCTGGTTTGCCTATTGTTCATTCGAATGCAGAATTTTCAACCTTAGTGAACTCAAACACTTTGGCAAGTATAACGTTGACATTAGTTGACGCAAACTTTGTTCCTGTAAAACTTTTATGTCCTATGTATTTGTCAATGACGGCAGAAAGTTTCGAATTGGAAGATGCAACTGGTGAAAGTATTGTATTACAAGAACAACTTCAACAACAAATAGCTCAAGAACAACAAATGCAACAAATGGAACAACAAAGTCAAGAATAAAAAAAAATATTTTTTTTATTTTTATAAAAATGTACAGAATAGATGTTTCAGATTTTTATGACTTCCAAGCATTCAGAAATATGTGTCCATTTCGAGACTATAACAAAGCAGTCGAGAATTTGAAACGTTTAGTCATTTATGTTGACTCTGCCCCAGAATGTTATGTTATGAAAGAATGGGATGTAGTCTTTAACAAACCAAGAGCAACAATAGTTTCAGAACAAGAATGTAAACAGAAACTTAAGAAAATAAAAGTCGTACAAGTTGGCATGAAGATGTTAGATGCTTGGGATATCTTATTGTCAAAACTTGAAGATTTTTCAGTTCGTGGTATAAAGTTTTATACACCTTCTCCAAACTTCTATTCTATCTTCACTGGATATAAATATGAACAAGTAGAATGGAAAGAAAATATTATAGAAGCTTGGTTAGACCATGTCAAAGAAATTATATGCAATGGAAACGAAAAGGTTTATGAGTATATCTTATGTTGGTTTGCAAACATCTTACAACATCCAAGTGCTAAGAATGAAACTGCTCTCATTATAATTGGAAAACAAGGAACAGGTAAGAACACATTCTTTACAGATATTTTGTGCAAACTGTTAGAAGGTTATTCGAACCCTAATATGACAAACTTAGAAAAACATCTGCGGTAAATTTAACTCTGCAATAGAGAATATGAAACTTATAGTATGTAACGAACTTCAAAGTATAGATACAACAAAAGTTTTGAACTCAGATGCTTTGAAGAGTCTTATAACAGACAAAGTTGGAGTTGTTGAAAGAAAATATAAAGACCAAAGAGTTTGTGAAAATGTTGCAAACTTCATTATGGTTTCAAACAATGCTGTTCCGATGAAGTTAGAAAGTTCTGACAGAAGATATGTAGTTGTCAGAACGTCAGATTCTCATATGCAAGATACAGAATATTTTGACGCTTTGTCAGAAACTTTGACATCTGACTTTTACAACCACTTGTTCTCATATTTTATGACATTAGATATTTCAAAGTTCAATCCAAGACAAATTCCACATACCGAAGAGAGACAAACATTGTTAGAAGCAAACAAGAGTGTATATGAACTGTTCATAGATGAAACTGACTTTGTGTCATTAGATGAAAGGTCATTGTACGATTCGTATAAACAATATTGTCAAGAATATGGTTATATGACAGCGTCTAAACGAACATTCTTGGCAAATGTCAAAAGTCTTTTAGACGTACAGAATGGTGTATATACAAAGAAAAATTTTTCTGAGTAAATTTAAAAAAAAATTTTTTTTATCCGATAGAAAAGATGACAAAATTCATCTCAGTAAACAAGTACATGTCAGGACTTAAAGAAGAACTAGACCCATTCACATATTTGAATGTTTACTTCTACCATTTTGAAAAGTCTTCATTCAGCAAAGTTTGGAACATCGAACCAGTTAAGTTTGCTATTGTGACTAAAAATGGTGCGAAATTTGAAGACTTAGACATAGAAGGTTTGTTAACAGTCAAAGAAAGTTTTGACAGAAGGTTCTCAAACCTTAAAGAAGGCAAAGCATACAAACTTGTTATACCTTATGAACCAAAGAAAGCAGACGACTATGAATATTATGAGTCTAAAGTTGTAGAAGTTCAAGGTAAATTGGGTAAAAAGATTTTAGAGTCTAAGCCAGTGTTTACTCCTAAAGAGGAAGAGAACATTGACATTGACCCAGAAATGTTCTAAAAATAAAATTTTATTTTTACATGTCAAATTTCTTCTTCTCTGGAACTGGTTCAGGTTCTTTCTTCTCTTCTTCTACTTTCTTTTCTTTCTTTTCTCTCTTCTTCTTTTCTGGTGGTGAGACGTCAAATTTCTCAGAACATATTTATGTAAAAGTTCTTTGTCCTTTAATAGCTCATCTATTCTGTTTTCTATTTCATCTTCAAGAACAGTGCATGTGTCTTCTTTGCATTCTAAGAAGTTTTGTTGGACTTCATCTCTCCAAGAGGCGTCATCTCTGTCAACAAGTCTGTCATTGACAAATTTTAAGACTGCTCTGCTTAATGTTTTATGGTTCTTGTCATATTCCCAGAAACAGAACTTTAGAACAAATTCACCTTTCTTGTTTACACTATGTAAGATTTTATGGTCGACAGATGTTTTGCTGTCGAAAAGCTTGTCTCGAATATAGATAGCGAAATCGCTAGACATTTTCTAAAAGATAAAAATTTTAATTTTTCTAAAAATATGTTAGAAAAAAAGTTTGCTGACATTGACAAGAAATTTGAGAATGTTTTAAACAAGAACAAGAGGAAGTTAGAAAATGCTCAGATAAAGCCTATACACGACAAGTTCTTATTTGCTCAGAATGGTATAACAGGTCTAATTGCACCACCTGGGTCGGGTAAGACTTTCACTTATCTTAAAATGGCTGCACAACAACAAGAACTAGATGAGAAGAACCCATTCTATGAGTTAGTAGTCATTTGTTCGACTTCTGGTCAATTTGACCAAACCGTCAATTCGTTCAAAGATATTATAAAGAAGTCTAAGTTAGTATGTATAAAGGATACTGAGTTGTTAGATTGGATAAAGAAGTACCAAAGAAGAGTTTTGAAGTATAATGCTATAAATGAGTATATAAATTCTAAGTTTAAAGACCCAAATGAGGAAATGCAGAGAATATTAGAGAAGAAACACTTCAGAAACAAACAGAAAGAGATAGAATACATTTCGAAGAAATTGCAATCTTACGATTGGAAGACTTACCCTCACAGATGTCTTCTTATCTTAGATGATTTCGCCTCTCATCCTTTGTTAAAGAATAGAGAACAAGACATGTGTCGAATTCTTAAGAAGCTCAGACACTTTAACATTTCAGTCGTAATATGTGTACAGACAGCGAAGAGTTTAAGTAAGGATGTTAAAAGAATACTTACTGACATTATACTTTTCCCCGGATTGTCCGAAGACGATTTCATGGAACTTATGAAAGAGTCCATGGCAGGTAAGTTTGACAGACATGAACTATGGGAGAAGTATAAAGTCATACAAGACCCTCATACTTCTTTCAGAATTCATATCTACGCAAACAAAGTTCAAATTGTAAAAAGTCAAGCGTAAAAAATGTAAGTGTTTAGTCTTAGTCTGTTGTGGTTCTGCAGCTTTCGGTTCTTCTGGCTTTGGAAGACATTCAGGAAGAGGAACGTCAGTCATCCGTTTGTGTCCTGTCGGAAGGAAAATATTTTCCTGTCGGAAGGAAAATATTTTCCTGTCGGAAGGAAAAATTTTTCCTGTCGGAAGGAAAAACTTTTCCTGTCGGAAGGAAAAACTTTTTCTGAAGTTCGACCAAAAAGTTCTCAATTTTCGAAAATTTGAATGGTTTACGGACGGACAACTGGAAAAATTTTTCCTGTCGGAAGGAAAATTTTTTCCTGTCGGAAGGAAATTTTTTTCCTGTCGGAAGGAAAATTTTTTCCTGTCGGAAGGAAAATATTTTCCTGTCGGAAGGAAGGACTCGGAATGCCAGAAGGATTTGACAAGGCAATTTACCTTATAGAGCTACCTGAGCCATCTGAAGTCAAGCGTAAAAATAAAGAGTGCATTTACCCTACTTGTTTGAAGTTGTCAAAATACTCTGTTATTTTTTCCTTTAACAATGGCAAATCTTCTTTGAAGGTAAGAATTGTACAACCTTTAATATCATAGTGTGTTTGAGGTAAAGTATCTTGAACTATTTGTTTCACATCTTCATTTGGTGTCATTGAAATCGGTAAGTTTTCGCGATAGAACCAATTTCTGTCAGATTTGTAAATCTTAGCAAGGTCGTAAAAGCTTTTGTTGTTTCTTCTGACTAAATGCAACATAACCATATCTTTATCTTCTTCATTTTCCATCTCTTCAGTATAAATCATATACTTATAGTTCTTTTCCTTTCCTTTTGGTACCGAACGTGGTATTCTTTTCTGAATGCTTTTGTCTTTTGCTTCAATGACTTCATCTTTTGCATGAAGTTTCTTTTCCATCTCTTCACGTTCTTGTCTATGAATTTCGTCAAGAAGTCTGTAAATATACCAAGCATAACGAGGCGAAGCCCACATTGCAACAGCATTTACAAGAAGTCTATGTACATACCAGCCTCTCAAACCATTTGGCAATTTTTCACGATTTTCATAGAGTTTTGGCGACTGGGGTTTTTTACCTACTCGCTGTTCTTCACTGTTTTCAGAAAAAAGTATGTCTCGCTGTGCTTCACTCAAAAGTTCTTGTGTGCTTTGGTTCCTAAACCAGTCTTTAGGAAGCTTAGTATCTGGAGCATAACATGCTGTCAAAATACTTTGCATTTGGTACATATCGTCTTTGACCGAACGAATGAGACGTAACTGTTTGTTAAACTGAACCCACTCGTATTCTTCATTTATAGCTTCATGGACTATAACTGTTGTTGTGTTCTCTGTTGTTGACATATCTGTCTTTACATACAAAATAAAAAAATATTTTATAAAAAATTAGCGTTATTTTCTGACTTTCACAAAAGACCAAAAATAAACGCTTTACATGTATTTTTCAGCAACTTCGTCAAATAATTTTATAGCTTTATCTATCTCATCTACTTCAAACGTTTCTTTACCTTTTATGGGAGCACCATACATTTTCTCAAACTTTTCAAGTAGTTCTGTTTCAGCAGCTCTCATATCATTAACAAACACAACCTTGACTCTATTGACTGTACTGTCATATCTTTGAGTTATTTATATGTTCTTCCTATCTTATATCTCTTTGTATTGAAGTCCTTCGGTTTCTGAACGATGTAAAGTAAGCCTTCACTGCAACGTTCCGTATCGAATGAACCATATGTTATGAAGTTATATCCAACAACTGGGTCTAACCATAACAAAACTATTGGTATAAGACTTTTGTCTATAAGATATGCTGTAGTTCCATAGAATCTTACCGATATCATAAGCTCAGGATTTCTTGTCAAAATTTTCTGAGTTGAAGCATTTCTAACCCAGTCGTTTGTTTTCTTTCCAGATGGAGATATAATGTCTGACGAAGAATATTTGTTGTATTTCTTTGAGTATCTTACGTTTAAATCCCCTATTCTAACCACTTTGGTGTCATTGTCTATCTTTCTAACTGTTTCAAACTCAATGTTTGTCATTTCTGTCTTTACATACAAAATAAAAAAAATATTTTATAAAAAACTAACTTTATTTTTTCTATCTTAAGGAAATTCATGAAATTTGGTCATTTTTCAGCAAAAATATATTTTAGGTGAAGAGGTGAGATCTCACCTCTTTTTTCACCTCTTTTTTCACCTCTTTTTTCACCCTCTTGAATTTTCATGAATTTCCTTAAGATAGAAAAAATAAAGTTAGTTTTATTTTATTTATTTTGTATAAAAGATATGATTTCAGGGATTTTTTTGACGAAGTGCAAATCTTCACTTCGTCAAAAATAACAGTTATATAATGAAATTTGTGCTGAATTCAATAAAAATAAAGTTTAGGCGAAGCCCACATTGCAACAGCATTTACAAGAAGTCTATGTACATACCAGCCTCTCAAACCATTTGGCAAATTTTTACGATTTTCATGAGTTTTAGGCGACTGGGGTTTTTTACTTACTCGCTGTTCTTCACTGTTTTCATAGAGTTTTGGCGACCCCGAAAAAAGTCTGTCTCGCTGTGCTTCGCTCAAAAGTTCTTGTGTGCTTTGGTTTTTGAACGATGTAAAGTAAGCCCACATTGCAACAGCATTTACAAGAAGTCTATGTACATACTAACCTCTTAAATTTATTGGCAAATTCTTGCGATTTTCGTACGGAATCTCTACCCTCGGTTTTCCGAGGGTAGCAAACATATGTCAGTTTACTCAGAATTTTATACAGAATTCAATAAAAATAAAGTTTATGTTAGCATGTTAGATCTAACACGTTTTCTAACCACTTTTCTAACATCGTAGAAAATTCATGATTTTTGGTCATTTTTCAGCAAAAATATATTTTAGGGTAGATGGTTAGATCTAACCTCATTTCTACCCTCTTGAATTTTCATGAATTTCCTTAAGATAGAAAAAATAAAGTTAGTTTTATTTTATTTATTTTGTATAAAAGATATGATTTCAGGGATTTTTTTGACGAAGTACAAATCTTCACTTCGTCAAAAATAACAGTTATATAATGATTTTTGTGCTGAATTCAATAAAAATATATTTTAGGTGAAGAGGTGAGATCTCACCTCTTTTTTCACCTCTTTTTTCACCTCTTTTTTCACCCTCTTGAATTTTCATGAATTTCCTTAAGATAGAAAAAATAAAGTTAGTTTTATTTTATTTATTTTGTATAAAAGATATGATTTCAGGGATTTTTTTGACGAAGTGCAAATCTTCACTTCGTCAAAAATAACAGTTATATAATGAAATTTGGTCATTTTACTCAGAATTTTGTTGCTGAATTCAATAAAAATATATTTTAGGTGAAGAGGTGAGATCTCACCTGTTTTTTCACCTCTTTTTTCACCCCAGTTATTTTATAAGCGTTTTACATGAATTGTACGATGTATATTTGAAATTCTAAACAATTTTGTGGCTTCGATTTCCTCTGTCAGTATGTCAGAAGTTTTAACAATGCCGAATGTTTCTTTATATTTCTTCTTGACATCTGAAAGAAGGAAATCGTCAGCTGTTGGATAGTTTTTGTTTAGAAATGCTAACATGTCCATTTTGTTTTCTGCTGGTTTCTCTGCTTCTTTCTTTAAGTCAGCATTGTCGTTTCGCATACGTTCTATCTCTTTGACAGAATAGTTATATTTCCTTATTGCTGCTTTACATTTAGAACATTGTGGGTTCATTTTAGCATTGTACATTGAAATTTGTCCTGCAAGTACAACTATAGCGTCAATGGTCCTCTTAAATTCAAAACATGCAGGTCTGATTTGTTCGTTCCATATTTTACATCTTTTATCTTTATCTCTTATCTGCCATACACATTCAGCAACTAACGAAACAAAGTTGTCGTAGGTCTTAAATTCTTCAGATTTATATATGTCAGAAACATTCTTATATACCATATCGCAGTCTTTGTCCATGACTTTGTGGTTGCAATGAAATCCAAGAAACTCATAGTTAACCTTACGTATGAACTTCTTAATTTCAACTGAGTCGGTTGGTCTGACTTCAATTTCTTCAAATTCTGGAATAGTAAGCTTTTGTTGTTGGATTTCAGGAAGTTTAGGTAAATGTTCCACCAGGTCCTGCATTTCATAAAGATATTATTCATTTGTTTCATCTTTTGCAGTGCAATCTAAATCTCCTTGGAGAAGTTCTTGCTTTATCTTCTGGATTTCTGTCTCAAAAGTATATGAAGAAGGAATGAAGCTTTTCATCTCAACTAACATTGAAGTTGGGTTCATAACTAAAGAGTTTGGTGAAGTTGTTGCTAACATGTTCTTACATACAAAATAAAAAATATTTTTTTAAAAAAACTAACGTTATTTTTTTTATCTTAAGGAAATTCATGAAAATTCAACGGGTGAAAAATTAGGTGAAAAAAGAGGTGAGATTTCACCACTTCACCTAAACTTTATTTTTGCCGAATTCATGAGTTTTGGTTGAAAGAATACGGTGGAGCCAAAAGTGGCTCGACCTCAAAACAAGCATTTTGTGAAGAATATAGCAACAGTCTGAATTCAGACTGTTGCTTTTTATACAAAATTCATGAGGGTAGAAATGAGGGTAGAAATGAGGTTAGATCTAACCATCTACCCTAAACTTTATTTTTGGTCATGGGCTATGTCCCACCGCTTTGCGTCTTTATGTCAAAAATAAATTGTTTTCATGAGTTTTCTACGATGTTAGAAAAGTGGTTAGAAAACGTGTTAGATCTAACATGCTAACATAAACTTTATTTTTTTCTATCTTAAGGAAATTCATGAAAATTCATGAGGGTAGAAATGAGGTTAGATCTAACCATCTACCCTAAACATTATTTTTTATTTTTTCTATCTTAAGGAAACACACAAAACTCATGAATTTTTGACGAAGTGCAAATCTTCACTTCGTGTCATAATGCAAAAAATAATGCTGAAAACACACAAAACTCATGATTTTCGAGAGTTTTAGACCATGTTAGAAATGAGGGTAGAAATGAGGTTAGATCTAACCATCTACCCTAAACATTATTTTTTATTTTTTCTATCTTAAGGAAATTCATGAAAATTCAACGGGTGAAAAATTAGGTGAAAAAAGAGGTGAGATTTCACCACTTCACCTAAACTTTATTTTTCAATACTTTTTCAGCACTTTTCCGTAGTTATATATGAAAGACAATTCGAGATAAAAGTCATAGTACAATGGAATAATATGTTGCACACCATTTGTTGTGAACCAAACTTGAAAGTCAGAGAAACTGTTACTAGGTGGTTCGTAGAATTTAGAAGCAAAGTCATAAAAGTCCTTACCAATACATAGAAAACTATTGTTGCTTGAACTGAAACTTGCATGACACATAACATTTTGAGGGTCAAACACGTTTCTATAAACTGTCAAATCTGCTGGTGGAAGTATAAATTTAAATGGACCATCTGGTGGTAATGGTTCGTTCTGGTTTAGTAACCGAAGAAATTGTGCCCAAGAACGTTTGTCTACTTTCCAAAATAAAAACTCTGTATCTCTTGGAGGGTTAATTTCAATCTTTTGAAATGAAACGGTGGAGTTCATCTTGTCATATTCTAGTTTCAGATAGTATGTTCCATTTAGTAAAGAGTCGTATTTTTCTTGAAATTCCCAATAATATTTGTTCATTTGAGTTTGAAAGTCATTTAGAGTTTTCTCAAGACTTTCGTCTGAACGAACTGTAAAGATTCTCATTTCGTCAAATTTGTCTATTAGACCATCAGAACCTTTATACTGCCCATGAAAATATACTGCGAACATAAATGCGTTAGTTCTATTTGAAAACAAAACTCTTCTAAATCCTATTGCCTTTGCATCTGAAGGACTTTGAAGCCAACGAATTGGATAGTCAAACCTGTATGCTCGGGATGAAATTTCTTCATCTGAAATAGTCCTACCAGCATTTGTAAAGATATAGTCTAACGGTTTTGTATCTGCTACTTTTGTTCTTTGTTTTTCAACCTGAAGCATTTAATATATGTAAAAATATATTGTTTTAAAATGGTATGCCATATAGCTTCTTGAATTTGTTAAGAAGTATTTGAACGTATTTTCCATCTGTATCTCTAGTGTTTACATAAGCATAGCCCGCCTTAGTAAAATATACTTGTAATTTCCTATAGTTTACGCCGGTATAAAAGTAGAAAGAGTCTTGTTCTTCGCTATAGTAGTAAAACTCAAACGTATGCTTGCCATAGTCTGTAATTTCAATTGTTTCATCTTCTAGTTTGTCGACAAATTCGAATACAATATCTCCAAATTTGCCTTTGTTCTTATTGTTTTCAGAACGAGTGACCCAACGTAAGTTTTCAAGTCTATTGTCGTTTCTTATATGGTTTATATGGTCTACAAAAGGTAAATTGTTAGGATTCAATATAAAATGAGTTGCAATGACAACATGTTTAAGATAGTGTTTTCCACCCATCTTCATAATAGCATATCCGTCATTTTGCTCCCATTCGCTTAAAACTCTTTTTGTCTTTTTGTTTCTGACTTCAAATGACTCACAACAGTGAATTTCATATTTCTCATCTAACAAACAAGTTTCCTTCAACTTGAGGTTCACTAACATCGAAAGGCATGTCCATAAGACGTTCTTCTTCTAACCTCTCTAGTCTGTTTGGATAATTGGCACGTGCTGTTTCCAAATCCATTTCGTAGGTCAGACCAGCCAGTTTGTCATAGACTTTTATGGGTCTTCCCTTCCTATATTTAAACTTCTTCGAAACTCTCCAACCATAACTTTGCAACTCTGCTTTTATTCTAGCAGATTTTCTATCCATTCTATATGGGGGCATTTTTATAAAAATAAAAAAATATTTTTTTTCTTTACTTTACATAACCGCCTGCTGCCATAAGTCTTTGACGCCAACCCATACCAGCTAATGAAGGTTGACTTGGTTTAGTTTGGAAACTAAACTTTGGTTTTGGTTTATCTTCAGTTTTTGGTTTTTCTTCTTCTATCGGTTTTTCGTCACTTTTCGGTTCCTCTGACTTTACTTCACTTGCAGGAACAGTTGTGTCGTCAACATCTTCATAAATATCATATGCCATTTGTTTTTGTTTTCCTTTCAACTTTTTGTGTTTGTTGTAAAGTTTAGAATATTTCGACTCTAAGTCAATGAGATGTTCTATAATGAACTGTTGGTCAGTGAAGTAAACTTTTCCATCTGTTGTCTCGAAAGCTCCTTCAGACTTCAATATTTTATTTGTGAGAGTCTGTTTCTTTTTTGAGATACTAGCCGTTCCATTTCTATGAAAAGTGACTTTGTAGTTAGGGTTTGTATTTCCAGACCTGGCACTTTCTATTATTGAATTTTTCTCTTCATCTGTAAGTTCTTTGACAGGTTTTGACAATGGTTCTGAACTTTTTGTTTGTGGTGTCAAATCTACCGTTTCAACTTCTTCGGTCATTTCATCTCAGTAAGAAATTTTAGTTTGGTTTGTTTTCAACTGGTTGTTGAGGTTTTTTAAGTCGGTCTAAAACTTCCTGAGGTATAGGAAGAACTTGACAAACACGTGGTGTAACTGCTGGAAGCCGACAAATCCATCTTGAACTTATTTGTCTCAATGCTGTATTGTTCATTTCATCTCAGTAAAAAATTTTACATTCCCCACGTTTGAGGCGGTTGAGGTTGGTTATTGTTTACCCACTGTTGTGCATGGTTATATCCTCTGTTAAAGAATCTTTCACCTTGGTCCATATAGTGTCCTGCTTGGTTATAGTAGTCATTTGCTTTGTTATAATAGTTTCCTGCTTGTCTTCCTACATTGTCCATCCATCCTTGAACTTTTCCTCTTGTTTCAGGATTTGGAATAAGATTTGTTGCATCTCGTGCTACATCCCAACCTTTCTGTACAGTTTGTATAATAGGTTGTGCTTTCTCTTTCAGTATACCTAATGTACTCAAAATCTTCCTTCCAACTCCAAATACACCTCTGGCTATTGTTCCCACTGCGGGCAAAAATCTGGATGCAACTCCTGCTAATGCGCCAAATAAACCCATTTCTTATGGGTTAAAAAATGACGAATTCAAACAAGGACCCCTATGTTTCTAAGGCAACAAAAAAAGCACTCATGATAAAAATCTTTAGTTCAACACCAAATGCTTGGTTTATGGATATCTTGGAAAACATTCCGAGAGTTAGAACAGATGGACCACCATACTGGCTAATATTTGTTGGTCAAACACAAGATACTGTGAAGCCATACCATTATGGTCCAAAAATATTTTAGATGTGAAAACTGCTTTGACAATATTCGTTGACAAATACCATCCAACAAAACTGACATCTGACTGTGAAAGTTCTTTCAAATCAGATGATGTAAAAAACTATCTGCGTTCAAAAAATGTAAACCAATATTTCATTGTCGACCAAAACCATTCTGCTCTTGGTGTCATTGACGGTTGTATAAAAATGTTAAGAGACTTAAACCAACCACAAGGTGGTGAAGCAAATGAAATGTCATATGACGACAAGTATAGACACTTCTCCATGGCAAAGATGAGACAAGTTTTAAATATTTACAATAACCGTAAACAAAAAGGTTTGGGAAACCACTCCCCCGAAGAAATGAAAAACAACCCTGACTTAGAGAAAGACTATATATTTAATAATTTAGTCAAAAGAGACAAACAAGAAAGAATGCCGGGCTTCAAACTTCAGAAAGGTGACAAAGTAAAATAGAAATACCTAAACGCGACCCATATGAAAATACTATTGACTATGACAACAATGGGAACTCGACAGGTACTCACATTCGTGTTCGTAAAAATAGAAGAAAGTATACAAGAGAATATTATGAAGTTTTAGGCAAACATGGCAAAATGTACAGACTGCAAGCAGAAGATAAAACTACTATTGTCAGACCTCGTTTCAAACTTGTCAAAGTTCAAGGTGGTATACTTTCAAAGACAGTTCTAACAAATATAAGACAACTCCTGACGAATATGCTAAAGAAGTTGAAAATGACGACTAAGCAATTCTATACCATGCGTAAACTGTCATGTAAGGTGGCATGTATTCTTTACTTTGTCCGGTTGTTTGCGTATATCCTGAAACGTGATGTGTATGGTTTCCTCCTCCCTCAGTGTTACTCCAGTAACAATTTATAGCAAACTGAACGTTGTCTTTAACATCATATCCTTTACCTTTTGTCATTCCTGACCAATCCCAATATCTATGCTTATGCCAACCTGCTTGAGATGTACTTAAATCTATGTAGTGACTGTGTGCAGGTAAATTTTCACCTGAAATCGTTTTACTTCCACCTGTTTCCTTTGAAGAGTTTGCACAATACAAAAACCTGTCGACTATTTGTTCCCATGCACCAACACCAAACATTACTTGAGGACCTCTCACATCCATAGATGTATAAATAGAACCTACTGGGTTCATTAAATCAAACATATGAGACATTATAGGATTGTCTCTTTTGAACTTAAAATATAGTGCAACTATTTCAGGTTTCTTCTGGTTTGTGTCAGAATATTTTTTATAATATAATCTTATGTTTTCAGGGTAGGTAAAGTCTTGACTATAATATTTATTTCTGTCATCTTCATAATAGTATACTATTCTCGTTTTTTCTATTGCATTATATCTTTTATATCTATAATATTCTAAATATAATGTTTGCTTTTTTGGGTCTACATGTGGTGTTTTGTCGTCAGCACCATAGTCATAATAATATGGTGCTGGAGCTGGGTCAGGCAATGTCATATCTGTCATTTCATAAACTCGGAAATATTTATTTTGTTCATCTCCATATAAGTTTAAGTAGCAGTTGTTGTCTAATGGAACTTTAACTTGTGTACCATTATTCTTTATATAGCTTACATACATTTCATTGTTATTTTTCGGAATGAGTTTATGCCGTGTACCATTTTTTAAGGAATGTGCAAACTGCCATCTAAAATATTTATTTTCTTCATTGAAAGAAAAGTCACCAACAATAGTTTCAATATTTTTTGTTCCAACTAAACTTTGGTATATTTCATTGACATATGTTTTATCTGCTTTATTTTCAAGGCTAACGTTTAAGTTTGTTATTTCAGATATAGAATGTGTATGTCCAACGTCACTTTTCCTGTTTAAGGTTTCTTGTAAGTTTGTAATATTTGCAATGGTATGTGTATGTCCAACGTCACTTTTCCTGTTTAAGGTTTCTTGTAAGTTTGTAATATTTGCAATGGTATGTGTATGTCCAACGTCACTTTTCCTGTTTAAGGTTTCTTGTAAGTTTGTAATATTTGCAATAGTATGTGTATGTCCAACGTCACTTTTCCTGTTTAAGGTTTCTTGTAAGTTTGTAATATTTGCAATAGTATGTGTATGAGTCTTATTTGCTTTTGTCTCTAATGTTTCTTGTAAGTTTGTAATATCAGATATAGAATGTATATGAGTCTTTTTAGAATATTCGTTTTCAGCTCTTGTCACTTCACTTGACATTTTATTGTCAACATATGTTTTGTCTGCTAGTTCAGGATGAGTATGTTCTTTTGTTGCATAAGCATTGTTAGCTCTTTCTTCTTCTTTGCTATTGCATCGTCTACATATTCTTTGTCAGCTTTGTTGTCAACATCTGCTTTCAAAAGAAGTTCATTTATAGGTTTCTCGTTTAAAGTTCCTTTTGTTGGATTTATACAGACAGTATGGTTCTTATTGTCTTGAAACAGAAACTCATCTGTCATTGGGTTTAATGTCAGTTTTAAGTTTCCTTCTTTCAATGACTCAGATATCTTAGAATAGTTTGAAAAGTTTGTTGTGTTCTTATTTAGAGCTTGCATAATGAGTTGTCGGTTGTGTTGTATTTCTCTCATAGACGCTGTTTCATTTGACATTTTATTATAGATAAAATATGCTTCCAATAGAAAAAGAAAATTCAAGAGTTGCTACAACTAAACCATTAGATGAACTTTTTACTAATGTCGGTCAAAAGTTTGAGACAGAGACCGTAAAGCATGAAGGCTATCGTTTTGACTACCCATTAAGATGGTTAAGAGACCCATCCGTCACAAAAGCTATTGGCTTTCGTAGAATGAAGTTCATTTCAGAAGCCATACATGGTTTCCCATTTACGGTCGGTTTTGAAGTTCGATACTATAACAAAGAAAAACGTATGTATGAGAAATTTGAACAGGGAAAACTTTTACAAGTTAGTTTGCTTGTAAACTTAGAAACAACTCTTCAAGCTTTTCAAGAAAAAATAAACGATATCTATATCGAATATGCAAACCAGTATAACATTGACGAAGGAGAATACCATCTCGATATTATTTATGACAGGAAAAATGCAACTGTTAAAATCAATAAAATAGAAGACCTTGGAGAAAACGTTTATATTTCTACAAAATATAACAACTTGGCATGGTATAGATTTATGAGGATGTTAAATCAGCCTGCAGCATATCCAGTACACCCGGACTATTATGAAGTCGAAAACCCTAATGGAACATATGAAAATGTTTTCGACCCAGATGCTATTATTGTTCATGCTTCATTTTCTGGTGCACAAAACTCTTTCTTATGCCTGACGAATGACTTTTACGAAAAACCTACAAAGTTATATGAACCGCCGAGTGGAAGTATTTCAGACTTTCAAGTATGGTTTACAACAGATGGAAGAAAAAGAATAATTCCATTATACCATGCGTTTTACTTAGAACTTAGTTTCATATACAACTACTATCGAACGATAAAAATATAATTTTTTAATACGGTTGAGGTGTTGGATTTGGTTGCCAACTAGACTGTGGTGCAGGTTCAGGCTGTTGTATTACAGGAGCTTGTTTTCTGGTTCAGGGTCTTTAGGTATAATACCAACGAACTGACCTACTCTTTTACCAATATTTTTGACACCGTTCCAAATTCCTCTTCCGACAGATTTTATTCCATTCCATATACCTCTTCCAACATTTCGAAAGAAGTTTCCTATTCTTCCAAAGAAACCCATTTTACATATGTAAAAATCTAATGTCCGCCTAGTCTCTTACGTTTCCTGTTGAGTTCCATAGCATTCTTTAACTGGAGCTCATACATTCTGTTTCTCCTCTGGTAGAAAACATATTCTGGGTCAACTCCTGTGTTCGCGTCATCTGCATAAAGTTGTTTATATCCCACTTCGGGGTTTGTATAAAACTCTTTCCATCTCATATTTGCATACCATGGTGGCAAACCTAACGCAGCGTCATTTGACATGGCAGTTTGCATTTGTACATCTGTTGGCACTTGACCATAGTTTGCCATTGCAGTTTGTATTCTAACTTCATTTGGAATATTCTCTGGGTTTGGTTGTCCAGGTTGCTGTGCATTCGCTAAGTTCTGTGCGTCCATTTAATATTAGATAAAAATATCTCTTACGAGTACATATACTGAACATTTGCAGGCATTGGTTCATCTTCATATTCTCTGTACTTTTCTGCCACGTCAAATAAATAAATGACACAATGGAAAAAACCTAAAACAAGTAGTCCTATTTCAAACCACATTTACTTACTAATAAAATTTCTTTATTGTGACACTTCTCCGGTTTATAGGACCTTCTCATATTCTATCTTGTCATATCTAAACTCATAGTCATGTATGTCCTCTAACCATCTCATAACGGTTTCCAAACCACTTTTATCGGATGTAAAGTAAAAGCATGGATGGTTATGTATAACGTCTAAAGTTTCTAAAGAGTCTCTCAAAGTCCAGTCTACTTGGTATTGAAAATCCCATGTGTTATAGAACGGCGGGTCCACTATAAAGAAAATATTTTCCTTGTCTTTATATTTTTCATACAACTCTGTCCAATGACATCTCACAAACTCTATACCCTCAATATATTTTTCTATGTCCTCTTTGAAAACATTTGTATAGTTAAGATATAAAACTTTTGACATAAGTGTTTCAATGTCATGAACTCTTATAGAACCACTATATAATAGTCTAGCAGATATACTATCCCAGTCTATATATTCTGCTTTTTTCAAAACCTCTCTCACAATATTTTTGTTATCTAATGGTATAGAGATATAAAAATTGGAGATATAAAAATTGCTCACATTTGCTCACATTTTGGCACTTTTTTGTACGTTTGTCAAAAAATTGTGAGGAAGATCTCACAAAAATAGTCAAAATGTGAGCAAATTTTGAGAAGTGCTCACATTTTGACATACGATTATTTTCATACGTTTTTTTGATGAATTCTAATAAAACTTCATTACCACTTTCAGAACGAAGCGTAACTTTTCAGCACGTAACGCTCTATCATGTGTAGTGACATATTATTCAAAAAAACTCAGATTGCTTATCTTATAATAACAATTTCATTAGAAAAAATGCACGATTTCACGCTAAAACTTTGAAGCAATTCTTAAATTCGGATAAAAAATCGATATGTATTACACTTTAAACTTCAAAAAATGGTTCAAAATTTAGACTTAGTTTATCTTAACAATATAGCAGATTTTAAGCCGAACAAGTAGGAGTAATAGAAATAGCTCTTGAAAATAATTACAATTAGTAATATGTAAGTCAAAGTTCGAGTATTCTAATAAATAAACGTTCCGGATTTTCTTTACTACAAGAATCAATACTTAATATATAGAAGCAACAGTAAAAACTTATTAGAGATTCAAAAAGAAAGTTGACTAAAGAGAATCTTTTTATATAAGTAATTTTATTTTTTTGAAATACGAGATCGAATAAACATGTATTTTATTTTATTACTATAATAATACGTTTTTACATAGTAAGAAAGTTTAGAGACTGAAATGAAATTAAAAATTGAGAAAAAAATAAAGCTTTTCTATAAAAATTCATATTAATATATAGTATAATGATATTACAATTTATTGATAGTTGTGTTAGAAAAAAAGGTACATTCACTATTTTTGACAAAATTTTAAATTTTCATGGGGTTGTAAATCTTATAATAACTAGATGAATAAGGAATAAATCCCAGTATGATGTGCATCATTATATTAAACACTATATGTAAGGCTGGTGATTCTATTAACACTTATGAAGATCTATAGTATTTGAGCAGATAAATTTGATAATTTCCAAAACTCTTATATTTCAAAATTAAAGTGTGCGAATGCATTTAAATGAGAGCAAAAAGAGATTGATGCTGTTAAAACTATGTGTTAATTTGCAATTATTTCGCATCACAAGAAACTACCCAGTAAATTCGGCTATCTTTCTTTGCAATTATTCTCCATTATACATATAATATAATGGTTAGGTTTGAAGAAAAGTTACTAGAGAATTATTGACTTTTGAAATAATGCAGAATTTTACTTGAAGAAATCATTAATTTATGAGTTCCAAATTGCTAAGCATGACGAAGGATCATTAAATTTGCTACAATTAAATACACTTATTGCAGAATTAAGATTTTTGAAATTAAAAGTTTGAAATATTGCCTTTTTGAATAAAAATTTAAATTTTATTATATAAGCATGATAATATCTTATAGAAATAAAGAAAATATTTTAAACCATTCAAATATTTTGAATGTCTTATCAATTTAAAATATTAAAAGATAGCTTGATTTTATCATCATTAGTTGTTATCAAAGTTTTCTTCTTTTAATGAACAACAGTAAATGATTTGTTAATTACTTGTCTTCCTTTTTCGCAGCAAAATCGAAAGTTATGATGATAATCTTGCTCTCAATTTTGAAACTCTCTGATTTACAAGTAAGCATTCCTTTGGAAAAGCAGTCCTATTCTGTTTTCAAGATATTTTAAAGCCTCAATTTCATACAATGCGCAGATCTATTCGAAATTGCAAGAACTCTCAAGAAAATGCAGCAGCAAAGAAGATTCCATAGTTTCTAGCATCAAAAATTACAACCTTAATACAACAGTTAAAGAGAAGCTCGAAAAGAAAATATTTAACCATAAAGCTGGAAACCATTCGATATCTACTATTGGATCTAATAAAAAGTTAATTATAACATATTTAACATGCTATTTTGTTGACTTTGTTCCATTATATTACCATATATATCTTTTTGAAATCTAAAATATTTTTACAATTTTAACCATGTGTTTGTTGAAACCATATATCAATCTTAGCTAAAGTATAGTTTATGAGTCTGTCACCATCTAACGTATGAATTTTCAAAAAATGTCAAATATGTTCATTTTTTCTGTAGATTCAGCCATAATTTCACGTTGTTATACTATTCAACTATTATTTAATATTTTTATCGATTTAAATATATGATGAGATGCTTAGTTCTCCTGGAAATCGATTTTTAATCGCAATTTTAACTTTCCAAAAAAAATTCAAAAATAAAAATCCCTCTCAATTTTCTAAGTTTTCTAACTCGCCAAATCTCTAGCCAATTTTTTTGGCCCGTATAAATATTGTTTGGCACTATATAGGGATGCTATTTATCATATTTTCATCCCATTTTACTGTTATTGTTGTAAACAGAAATTCATCAAAAGTGACACCTCAGAAAAGCTAAAATATTGAATTTTTGGAACTTTTGATAGAGCACGATTTTAAATATTAATTAAAGTAAATGTATATTTTGTAAAGATTCTTTTTAATAAAAAAATAAAATTTTGAAGAAGAACACAAAATCTTCTGAAAAATAATATCACATAAACTCATATTATTTTCTTATATTAACTATTTTATATAAAAATCAAATTCAATGATCTTAAAGCGAATGATAAACTCAAAATTTACGAATATAATGAGTGGGAATATAATGCTTATCTATCATAAAACCATATGAAATATCAATTTTTGCTTTACGCCTATTCCCACTCATTATATTCGTAAATTTTGAGGTTTATCATTCGCTTTTAAGATCATTGAATTTGATTTTTATATAAAATAGTTATATATTAGAAAATAATATGAGTTTATGTGATATTATTTTTCAGAAGATTTCATTCTATATGCCTATGAAAAGTACTCTCAAAACTAACTTTTCCTAATTATAATTAAATCTAGAATATTGTATTATGCTTAGTATTATTTCATTTTTCTCATTCAATTTAGAATTTACAAATGTCAAAAAATTGAGAGCTGTCACTTTTCATGAATTTCTGTTTATTACATTATCGCCTAGTGAATGTACCTTTGTTAGAAAAAATATACAACTAAAATGTCAGTTTTAAAAAATTTAAAAATTATATTAAAACAATAATCATTATCTCTCTTTGCTTAACACATCTACAACTGGAAACATCATTCCAAATGAAGTTCCTCATCTCTCTTTGCTTAACACATCTACAACTGGAAACATCATTCAAATGAAGTTCTCAGTCTCGTCAAAATTTCTATCTACAACAAGCTTAACTCAAAACTCAAGAAACTATCATTATCTCTCTTTGCTTAACACATCTACAACTGGAAACATCATTCCAAATGTTGCATTCAAGAATCCTATTATTATTCTTTCTTTCAATCTTTTATATTTACTCTTTAAATTCTAATATAATATAAATTCTTCATTTCCTTTGTTTAAACTTTTTTCATTTTAATACCATTTTATCAGATAGTAATTTTTGTTTTTCTCTGACCAAAAATCTTCTCAATTTAACTCCACCTTCACAAAAATTCATTGAGTTCTCTCAAAATTCTTGTATTTTTGGTATACTTAAAGTATCATCTTCAAATATTTTTTTGGAGAAAATTGACTTTGCATAATATCGTAATACTTTTTAAGGCAGATAGATTTACCGTAAGTTGAAGAACTTTTAATTTGAACAGAAATTATTCAACAAATATTCTTTTTATTTGATCAATAAATTGTAATATCATTATACTATATATTAATATGAATTTTTATAGAAAAGCTTTATTTTTTTCTCAATTTTTAATTTCATTTCAGTCTCTAAACTTTCTTACTATGTAAAAACGTATTATTATAGTAATAAAATAAAATACATGTTTATTCGATCTCGTATTTCAAAAAAATAAAATTACTTATATAAAAAGATTCTCTTTAGTCAACTTTCTTTTTGAATCTCTAATAAGTTTTTACTGTTGCTTCTATATATTAAGTATTGATTCTTGTAGTAAAGAAAATCCGGAACGTTTATTTATTAGAATACTCGAACTTTGACTTACATATTACTAATTGTAATTATTTTCAAGAGCTATTTCTATTACTCCTACTTGTTCGGCTTAAAATCTGCTATATTGTTAAGATAAACTAAGTCTAAATTTTGAACCATTTTTTGAAGTTTAAAGTGTAATACATATCGATTTTTTATCCGAATTTAAGAATTGCTTCAAAGTTTTAGCGTGAAATCGTGCATTTTTTCTAATGAAATTGTTATTATAAGATAAGCAATCTGAGTTTTTTTGAATAATATGTCACTACACATGATAGAGCGTTACGTGCTGAAAAGTTACGCTTCGTTCTGAAAGTGGTAATGAAGTTTTATTAGAATTCATCAAAAAAACGTATGAAAATAATCGTATGTCAAAATGTGAGCACTTCTCAAAATTTGCTCACATTTTGACTATTTTTGTGAGATCTTCCTCACAATTTTTTGACAAACGTACAAAAAAGTGCCAAAATGTGAGCAAATGTGAGCAATTTTTATATCTCAATGGTATACGTTCCATCTTACCTATAGGTATCTTTTCTTTTAACTCTTTCAATATATTGTTTGTGTCTGGTATATGTTTGAGACGGTCCATATAGTTGTCGAAGTCATTGCATATAATCTTTGAGTCTGGGAATATTGTATGACATAAATGGGATATATAGAAACTTCCACCGAACAAATCTACAAATGTTAGACCATTCGGTAGTTTCTTAAGTTCTCTCAATATAATATCTTTACATTTACTCTTATTTCCAAAGAACGGTAACGGTGGTTTTGTAAAATTCATTTATATATAATAATAAAAATGTTTTTTCCTGAAAAGTGACAGAAAAGTGATAAAACATGAAAACATATATAATTTGTGAAAAGCGACACATTATATAATGTTTTCGACCCAGAAGACTAACAATTTTCCGAATAAAAACTTCATTTATACTAAACATCTTCGGGGCTAGAGGGCGCAACGCGCCTGGAAGCCCTCCGAATAAAAACTTCATTTATACTAAACATCTTCAGGGCTAGAGGGCGCAACGCGCCTGGAAGCCCCACTACCTTTTTTTTTTCCGACCGAATTCCATTGTGTCAGAATATGACCATAAATATTCAGGCAAAATTTGATTTCTGACATTCAAAAGATCAAAGATCAAAAACCATATGTGAACTAGTAAAATGCTAGATTTTGTTCAAGTTATATCAAAAAATGTAATTCTCGACTTTATTCAACAAATTGGTGAATTCGTTTCTTCTCAGGCAAAAAGAAGATTGTTCTGATAATCGCTAACGCCACCAGCAAGAAAGAACATGGAGGACATATGCATTGGGGCATTTTTGCTCTAGTTTTGACAAAAATAAGTTGAGTGCTTTTTTTTTTCAAATTCTAAAAAAATGATAGGATGGCATTTTTTGACAAATTAATAAAATGTTCACCATAATTCTATCTTTAGAGGATGACAATATTTGGAATAGTTACTTCAAAAGTCAATTTACAGAAGTAGAAACTAAATATTGTCAAAATTGTAATCTTTCAGCAGGTCAAGGTCAATATTACTTAGATGAGTGCAATTTTTATGATGATCATGACCAAGTTGTCAACTTTAACCCAATTTCCAACACTTTATTACTGCATAACCGTTGTTCTTTTAGCAACTGCACTTCAGAAGAAAGTGGAAGTTGCATTTACTACCAAATTGGTAGTAATAGTTCGATTGTTCAACGAAAATTCTGTTGTACAAAATGCCAATGCCAAAGTGAACAAGGAGCACATTTTTCATATACATACGTTGACACAGATAACTTAAACTTTTTTATTGAAAGTTCCCTTTTCCTTGTAGGAAAAGAAAGTTTTGGTTTATCTATTGAAGCAAAACGTGATAACATCATAGTTTCATCAACAAATTTCTCATCATGCAAAGCATCTTTGGGACCTGCTGGTTTTTTAAAAAGTCCTAATGTTAATTACACAACAAAATATAACTATACAACTGTTGTTAATAATTTAGCAACAAGTGAAATGATTCTAGATATTTGGTATAACTCGTTGATTGATTCATGTAATATTATAAATAATACCATAGCAACATCAAGAAATGGAATTATTTACCATCAAATTAATTATCTTACTGTAAAAAGTTGTTCTTTTATTAACAACACTGTTCCTCAAGGTTCATATTTGATAGAGGACAATGGTCAATTAACAGTTGATAGTTGTTACATTGACAATTCGATTTCAACAACATTTCTTAGTAATGTAGTACCTAAAAATACAAGAGAACTATTTACTAACAAATTGATTCATCTTTCAACTGGTAATTGCCAAGCAGAATTTGCAATTATCAATAAAAGTATTTCAGAAGTTAATAGGCTTCCCATTATCATTATTTCTTTAGTAAACATTAAAAGGTCTACATAATCTATAATCTTACCAAAATACTTGCGATTATTTGTGTTATCCAATATTTGTGTAAAAAATTAAAATGAGGACTTCGGGTTATTAACAAAACTATTAATGCAAAAATATTATGAAAAATAGCATCCTCACAATTTGGTAAACCATATAAGAATGTTTTTTATTTATTTGCAAATCATAATAAAAAAAAATGATTTTAAAGTTATCGAAAATTGTTACATATTTATTTTTACACAAAATAGTCAAATAAAACCATTGTCAATTAATTAATTTGAGGTGGGCAAGCAAGAGAAGCTACGTAAGAGAAATCAGCAATTCTCTGTATTGGTGTCGGTGCAACCGATCCAACAGAGTCCATTGCTGGTTCTGCAGTAAATTCTTGGTCGAAATTGGAAACATCTTTCTTGCTCTTAATCGGAGGTTTGTAAGAAGGAACATATGACTTTGTGAGTACTTTATCCCAATCAATTCCGTTGAAGAAAGGATGTTTGATGATATCTTCGTATGCGTAACGTTTTCTGTCTCTCTTTTGAAGGAGACCTGTAATTAAACTGCAAACATCTGGATCTGCGCCCTTTGGAAAGACAACAGGATCCATTAATATCCTTGTAAACATTCTCGAGGTATTTTGATGGAAGAATGGCGTTGTTTGGAAGAGCATCTCGTAAAGTAATATGCCAAGTGTCCACCAGTCAACAGCTGGCCCGTAATTAACGCGAGATATAACTTCTGGAGCCAAATATTCGTTTGTTCCGCAGAAAGTCTTTGTTACTTCGGACTGTGATAAGTCCTTTGCAAATCCGAAGTCGGTAAGCTTAATATGGCCGTCTTGAGCGAGTAATATGTTTTCCGGCTTCAAATCTCGATAAATTATGTCATTTTGATGGAGGAAGTGAAGAGCTGTGACTATTTCGGCTGCGTATATCCTTGCATCTTCAAGAGGAACAGCTCCATTCGTCGACATATAGTTAAACATTTCTCCGCCGGGAACGTACTCCAAAACTAAGTAGAATTTGGTTGCATTCTGAAATGCATAGAAAAGTTTGACAATGAACGGATTTGAAGCATTAATTAAAGTATTTCTTTCAGAAAGCATTGTATGGACTTTTCCTGCAAGCGCAAGGCGTTTCTTGTGAACAGATTTGATGGCGAAAAGTTCTCCTGAGTCTATCTTCTCGGCCAACATAACTTTTCCGTAATTTCCACGGCCTAAGACGGAGAGGACTTTAAACGACTCAATTGTGAGAGACTGGTGTGTGTATGTGCAAGATCTTAACGCGTGGATCCATTGGAGCAACGATTCCGTGGATGGAGCTCTGAAATATAATGGTTCAGTGCTGCCTTCTGTTTCGATTGAAAATTTGCATGAATCAATAGATTCCATTTGAATTTTTGTGGTTTCTTGGACGTTTAATGTTAGTTCTTTGGCATTAAGTGTATCATCTCTGAATAAACGAAATTCAGAGCCTTGAAGTGTGGCCCATTTCTTTGTATAGATTCCGATTTTTCCCTTTTTAACATGATGCTTTTATTAATTTTATTCAAATGTTGCTCCATCAATTGCAAAATCATCAGGTTTTGGCTCAACTTCCATTCCAAAGAATTGGTGTTGCTTCTCCTGCCTCTCTTCTGGATTATTCTTAGTTCCAAGGAAGAATTCATCTTCAGCTTGAATATCACCGGTTTCGATACTGACTGATTCACCAGAATCTTCAATAGCTGGCCAATCGTCGACGTAAGGAACTTGAGCATCTTCTTGATCGGATTCTTCCTTCTTCGGAAGAATCAACCAAATAACGAGGGCTAAGATTACACCAAGGAACAACATGACTAAGACTGATGCAACAACAATGAGGACCCACCTCTTATCAATGATGATTCTGAAACCTTGATTAGCTCCAACCTGAGCTCCGTTTGGATTTTCTGGTACTGGGACAACTGGCTCTTGAGTTGGCTTTTCAGGCTCTGGTGTTGGGTCTGCTTTCATATATTGAGTCTTATATTTAACAACGACAGTTCTATATGGACTGATTGAACTTAATTTGATAGTGTTGTCACCAAGTTTCTGGCATGTTGTTCCAGCTGGCGTGAAGAAGCATTCAGTAACATCTTTGAAACCAATCAAATAAGCACCATAGCAAACACCGGATCCATCTCTGTCGCACCATGATGCATAATATGAACTTGGTGTGTCATTTTGATGCTGGAAGCCGTTTGCTAAGAATGACTTATTGAAGAACAATTGTTTATATGTTTGAGCATATTTGGCTGTAACAAAAAGATCATCGTAAACATCATATTCATCTGCAGGAACTGCGAAGGATGGAACGCATCCAAGGACTATGCATTGAGCGAAAATTTCACCTTCAACTCTGTGATCAACATCCAAAATTCCAAATTTCTTGGATCCAAGTGCGTATCTGTTACCAAAGAGTCTTGTCTTCTGGGCATTCATGAAGTAATACTGGTTTGGAATTGGCTCACGACGTGGGATTTCAAGATCTAATCTATCGAGATGATAATCAATTAGATTGACAATTTGGGGTGGGATGTTTGGCATTGTAATCATGATACTCTTTCCTGGGTACTTCTCGCGGACTGTCTTAACAAATGCAAAGAGCTCCATAACTTTTGAATAAGATTGACTTTGGGTTACTGGGTCAATGAGAAGATATTTCGTATATGTTGCTGCATTTGTTGTATCTGTAATGATACTATGGGCATCAAGAGCATATACGTTGATACCATCGTAATCAAATGTTTCGGCCTCTGCTCCAGGAAGGCTTTCACCGATTGTAACCTTCTTATAGTAAAGGAATCTACTATCCTTTGTTCCAGTAAATGATTCCTTTGAGAGGATTCTGCCCATATAGTTGTCTGCCATTAATGTTTCTTTGCCAGCCCATTGTGATAGATCATTATCGTCAGCAACGAATGCTGCGCCTGGCTGTGCTTCTGGCTTATCATAGATGTCATTTAGACTTGTGTGCCAAGCTTCAGCAGCAGCATGATACGAACTAACTTGTTTTTCAACGATCAAGTAGGTCAGAGTGAACTTCTCAAGAGGTCTCATCGATATGAACATGCATTGATATGGAACTCCCTCGTCTGTTTCAGAATTAGCAAATGTCCAATAATGAATAAAGTCGTTTTCGTAGACATCTATACCTACAACGTGAGTGGAGTTTGCAATGAATGGAACGATCATCTCACGAATGTTACTGTCAAAATTCTGGGTGTTGTGATCTTGTGTATTTGTGTCAATTTGATAAGCATTGAGAACTGGAATCGTTGATACCATTATGGAATCGCCTGGATTTATTTCAAGTGATGCGCGCTTAACACCGGGCTTAACTTCTGTTAATGTTCCTTCTTGGTAATCTGCCAAGGGTCATTATTGATTTTGTAATTTAATCGTTATCGTCTTTTTCTAAACGTGCATTTTTTGCTTTCGGAGCTATTGAACATACATTGGCCCTTACCAGCAATTGAAAACTATTTTTCATTATCAACAATTACATTACTCCGAGTTATTCATCAATCAATGAAAATCGATATATAGTCCATACTTCAATTTACAATATTGGCAAGTCCAATTTCACTTGGCATATTTAACTCATATAGAAAAACCAGTTGGAATCGGCAAAATTATCTTTAATTCCATACATAAGAAAAAAAAATTATAAAGTTCTTCAATAATAGCAAAATAATAGTTTAAATAGATTTACAAGTATCGCCCATCTACTTTTGATATAATTCACATATTAAATGTAGAAAACTGGTTTAAAATAAATATTTCAAAAGTTCGAAAACGATTTATGAAAAAATAACGTGATGACATTTACTAAATTTGCTCTGTATTAAAGTATCGATGATAGAAAGAGCATATTTTGTAAATATTTCAAAAATATTTAAAAGTCGGAGAAATTGTATTGTAATGTACTATAATTATGTTACAAATCCGATTCAATACTAATCCTTCGCTATTGAAGTTGTTTTGAGAAGGATATTCTCTAAATTCTTGATAAATCTTTAAAATCTAGAGTAATCGTTTTGTAAACTTAACAAAACTAAAATGTATACCAATAGATTGGCATTTTCTACGTTTTCAAAGTGAGAGAGTGTAAATTCTTTTTTTTATCCTATTAAGGTTTTTAAAAAATTTAATTAACTTAATTTATATGATCTGAAATATATGACAAGTTAATATGGAGAATTCTTTCAACCCAATTTCAATTTATTGAATTTTCTATTCGAATTCAAAAATTTTCCCAAGAAGAAAAAATAATTAGGAAATTTAATATGTTAATACATAAAATATTTTATTTATTCAAAGAATTCAATTTTCTATTGGATCAAAAAACTTGTGTTAAAGTTCGTATTTTAAGATAACTATACTTTTAGAAGCTGTTTTTATTTTTTTCACCGGGATTTTATTAATTTAATTCTTTCAAAATTTGAATCTTATTGTATATCACCGGACTATGATCATAATAGAGTTGCAATCTCTAATTATAGCCACATTAGTACTCGTGGGTCGATATATCATGGGAGATACAAAATTATTTGAATTTTCTTTTATTTTTTTTAAAAAATATTAAAAAAAGTAAATAAATAACTAACAACACAGCATCACTTTTCGTAAAATGCTTTAATCCTAGTCCTTTTTCCCCTTAATTTTTCAATCTCTCCCAGGTTGAAATTTATTCCGGGAATTTTTAAAGATGCTTGGTCAACATAAAATTTCATTAAATCTTCCACAGGAGTCATAAACTCTGAACATTTGAAGCGAGCATGAACTGCATCATTCAAATTTTTAAGAAGATTTTTGTTCGAAAAGTGATTCAATACGGCGATTACATGAATACAAGGTAATCCGTATAATTCGATGTGCTTACATGTGCATGAATATTGTGAATCTGACATAATTTTTACGCAATATGTATAGCGACCAAAAGTTGCATAATATAATTCTTGAATTGGATCATATAATACCGAGCTAAACATATCTGAATGTTTCAAAGTTTCATTTAGATTTTTGATAATATTATCTGATTTAAAATCACCTGTTAAAACATTTTTAACAAGATTGAATTCATGTTCAATGAGACGGATAATTAGTTCGGCGGGTTCATATGTATCCCATTTATCTTTAATTTCGGCATTAAGGGATTCAATAAGAGATGTTGTGAGTATGCCAGCGGTGTAGTCAGCGAATCCTTCAAATGGGTTAATACTATCTAAGTACTTAAAGAGATCCTGATTATTTTCGCGGTTTGGATATTCCTCTTGTAAACGAGTTTCTAACTTTTTAATCAAGTCAATTCGTTTTTGAGGATGGTCTGCGTAAGCGACTTCAACAATTTCGGAATAGACATTGATGTATTCCCTTTTTGTTGCAAAATGACGTAAGCAAAATTTATGATCGCAAGAAAAGCCTGATTCTCTAACAGCAGCTATAATTGCCGGACCTTGATCGGAATAAATATTCTTGAATCTGCTTGGTGGAATAAAAGATTTCAATTTAGTGAGCATATCCTTAATTGTTATCGTATTTTCACTAACAGACCATGCAAATGCAATAGGGATAAGTCTATTATTTGGTGCAGGTGTACCAATAATGAGTAAGTTTCCTTTTTTAATACAAAATAAAAACGTTCCATCAATTTGAATTATTCCGCAAAAAGCTTGTGTTTGCATGTAAAAATGAGTTATTGGAGGAATTACAATAAATGAATAAATTTGAAAGTCTTTTGAATTTTCAGGTAATTCATCACCTTTCTTAAATGTATGCAATTCAATTTCATTGTTAACTTCTTTAACTAAAATCATTTCGCAGAATCCTTGTTCGATTTTGTTTATGATTGAAAAAATTGTTGAGAAATAATTGTAAGATTGAATTCTATCCCCTTTTGTGGTTCCTTTAAGTTTATTTACTATATTATGGAACATCGTATAAGTTGCATTGGGAATATTCAATTCTTTTGCAAAAATTTCTTTGCATTGAGGAACATTATCAGAATTTGCTAATTCAAATTAATACACCTTTCAAGTGTACGGAGGCACTGCGCACCTACTTACCCATTATATGTGAATTTGACACTTTACAAAACCGTTAACGTATATTTTACAACACAAACGACAACATTAACTTAACCTTAAATATTTACAAAGCCACCAACCACTTCACCTCACTAACGTTTTCACAAACGACTTCACTAATGTAAAAAAATAAACGTTCTCACTTACAAAAGTATTGCAACTCCTCCCATTGCTGTGCTTCACATAACAGCTCATAATCTTCTGACTCACTTTCTTCTTCATATAGGTCAAAGTCACTGTCAAAATAAATGTTAGTAAGTTTTGACAAAGCTAATGAAACATGTTTACCGTTTGTATCGTATGCTTGTATAAACTTTCCATTCTTCATTCCTTCATAAACGCTCAAACTAACTTTACCCTTTCTCCCTCGTATCTGATAGAATGTATTTTCACGAGGAACGAAGAACAAATTCTTGAACTCATGACCGTTGTAGTTTGTTATCTCAATAGTTTTCGTCATTTATATAAAAATAAAATAAAAAATAAACTTAAAAATTAATGATATCACCACCCCCACACGTATGAAAACATAGCACAAAAATAAATTTAGGCGAAGTGGTGAGATCTCACCTCTTTTTTCACCTGTTTTTTCACCCTGTTGAATTCATTGCTTTATAACTCTCTTCCTTTCTCCAACTCTTCTAACTTCTTCCTAAGTTTAGCAATGTTGTCCTCATGAAATTTAATCTTTCTCAAAATTCCTTCTTTATCTAATGGTTGCTTTATCTTTCTAAACTGAACTCTACCATCCTTCATAGTATGAATGTAAAAACCTTCTGGAATAGTTCCTGATTTAATGTATTCTACCAAAAACTTTTGTTTCATTGCTTCAGTGACTTTAGTCGTCATTTCAATCAAATAAAAATTTTAATATTAAATAAAAATAACGTTATTTTTCAGTAAGGAAACGCAGGAGTTTTACGATTTATTTGAGGAGTAGGTTCTGGTTTAAATGTTGGAGTCGGTTTAGGAGTTGACTTTTGAACAGGAGTTTGTACTTCCATAGGTTCAGGAGTCATTGAAGTTTTTGCTTGTGAAGGCGTTGGTTTTGGCGAAGGTGTTGGAGTTTGTTTAACTTCAGCTACTTCAGTATTATTTACAACATTTGCTTTATTTCTTTTCAACATCATAACTGCTCCTGCTGTAGCTAGCAAACCTAGTGGGAGACCATATCTTATATAAGGACTTGACCAAATGCTATTTTTGACAGGAGCTGGTGGAACACCTAACCTTGGTGAGACTGCTCTTTGCCATTGTGCAGCTCGTAAGAAATATTCAATAGGTGCTCCATAATCGTTTGGTAAAGTTTGTTTCATAGATGGTGAAGGTTCACGAGAGCTTGATGAAGAACTCATGTATAAGCTTTAAAAATAAACGTTCATCCTTTATTCCTCACCGTCGTCCGTAGCTAAGTTATAGTCATCTAATCTTATTATGGGGATGCCATTAGCACGCACCTGAATGGCAAAGCAACAATCCCTCATAAATCCAATAAGTGGCTTTGGTACGTTTTCAGTTGCTAGTTCAATAGGTCCTTTAACAGACAATTTGTATGTTATTGGAGCAGTAGATGTTTGACCTTGCTGGAAGCAAAAGTCCACTTCTGTTGGAAAACCACATAAGAAATGTGTGTTGTCATAGCTATCCCATTTATGTTCCACACTACCATCATCCACCAATGTCCTCATAACATCTTCATTAAATCCTATCATATCATTGTTTGTATTGCAAGCGTTCGCAACCATTTCATAAAATACAGGTCCATATGATTTTTCAGGTTCTGCAGGCATATTTCCATAAGCTCCCATGGAAAGCTGAAGATATTTAAACTTAGGGTTCTCAAAATTAACATAATAGTTGTCTTTCTTTCTAAATAGTGCCCAAATACTTTTAACATTAATAGGCGTATAAGCTGCTGTAAATGTTGCACTTGAACTATCTGTATTCTTTGAGAATGAACCGGCCATAGGAATCCAATCCATAACTTTAACAGGAAAACATAAAGCCTCGTTTGTATAATGTTCTACAAGTTCTGTATAAATGTTAGGGTCTAAAGAGAATGACTTTGGATGAATGAAACATTCATTAAAATCCATCTTTGTTCGAAATAGTTGCTGGGTTACAGTTGTAATAGTAACTGTTCCACTAGCTTCTACTGCCTTCGTTATCATAGTGAATGGTTCATTCCATGGAACAAAT